CTTGGAAGTGCTTTAATGAAGTCAAAGAATTTATGGGAAATGACTATCTTTGTGATGAGAACAATATAGCTTATTCTGCCTACTTACATACAACAAACTAACATGAAATAAAATATGTTCTGATACTCTAGTGGACATTTTGTTTTTTTCCTGTCCATTATCCATTCACCGTTCATTTGGTAAAATGATACATTGGTTTTCTTCTGGTAAATCACTCCCTTTCTCCCTCACTCTGAAGCTATGCCATTGTGTAGAATCGGTCCCAAACCCAGCCCTAAGAGAGGACCCAGATTGGTGTAGGCCAGTCAACATATTCAATCTCTATGGCCTTAGTGATGGGCTCATTAATAAACTCATCTGATCAGAAGCTAATGAGGAGACGTTTGCTGGGGCTCCTGGGAGAAATAAAGCTTCTCCTAAGAACAGGTCTACTGAAAGAGACTCACTTCAGGACTTAGTACCTACAAATGTGAAGTTGGGACTACTGTAGCCATTCTGCTAGGAGAAAGGAACCAGCCTAAAGATGAAGTTAACACTAAGAGGAAGAATATTTTGGAAGAAGGTCCTGGTGACATTATTTGAACTTTGAATCAAGTCATAACCATCCCTGGAAATTATCAACAGTCTTTTCAGTTTTCCTTTCTAATGAGACCACTTTGTCTTAGATTTTTCTTCACTTGCAGCATAAATAATCTTTATTAACTATATATGATGTCAAGTTGGTAACTAGACTTACTGGAGTGATCACTTTCTAAGTTATATAAATGTCTAATCACTATGTTGTACATCTGAAACTAATATAATATTGTATATCAACCATAATTGGTGGGGATTTGGGAAGATGCATCAAAGGAGTCTCATGGTCCCTACAGGACCCCAGGGTGTCATGAGGAGCAGCAGAAAAAGGAATCTCAGTGGATGCCAGGTCACACGAGTGATGTCTTATGACAATTTGCCCTTTTCACTGCTCAGGTTAAGTAAAGCTGTACATATGGGAGACTCTGTTGGGATCAGCCCATTGGAATTATTTGAAAGAACATTTAGTTTATTAAAATGAAATTTTCATTAACTTGGTGGAGTATTAAACGTAATTATACAAAATAGATTTATATTGCATGCAGACCTGAGTTTGTGTACTCATAACATCGGGATGTCTTTATTATCTCCAGGAAAATTTTTTTGCAAAATATTAGGTAAGGTCATATTATGTAAGCAAAAACTAGGAAATATTAAAAAGGAATAAGTAGAAATCTCAGAACAACACTGAAACAGAATAATGCAGAATAGTTCAGAGTCCAAACAAACAGGACCAACCGTACTAGTTACAGGTCATTCCCAGTTCCCTATTGAGGAGGACTAGAAGATTTCTGTTTTTGTCGATGAAGATTCTTGGCGGGGGGTGGGGGTGGGGTCGGAGGTAAGGGGGTAGTCATCCTAAACATCCTCTGCTCTTAGTTTTGCATTTCTTTCAATACGGTGTCTTTCTTTTGACCCAAGTGGAAAAAAATATTTAAAACACTTTTTGGAAATCACTATCTGAAAACAGAAGGCCAACAACTTGTCTATAACTTTATAAATCCACTATAGTCGTCTTCCTGCTTTGAGGGTGTAGCGCACACATAGCGAAAGAGACACAATCTCCTACTCAGATATCATTTCCTTCTCTAAGGCTCTGTAAAAAACACACTAGAGACATAGCTGTAGACATAATACAAAGCCTATTGTGGGGAAAGTCCCCCAAGCTCTCATTATCCCTTGAAGAGGTTGGCTTAGGTCAGGCACAGCTGGACATTCTTCGAATAGTGCTCCAGGGAAAGCCCTGCCCCCAAGCTGCTCTATGTATTCACAGAGAAATGGGAGGGAATGGCCATATTAATCAACCACAGTTTTCTAGTTTGAAGAATGGCCATGAATACCAGAGGAATATTCTGTGGGACAGTTGTCTAAAGGAGTTCAAACACCAGTGCTGGTATCTGTTAGTAACGTAGCCCTTCCTGCTCAACCAGCTCAGTCCTGCTGAGCCAGCTCTTTGCTTGGCTACTCAAAAGTACAAGGAATTGCTTTAGTAATCCAGCAGATAAAGAAGGGTTTGTCTCCTCTGACTTCTAAATCCAGGATTTAAAGTGAAGGCAATGATTAGAAAAAATTAGGCATTCATGGATGCCGATAGCATTGAAAATTGATTGGCAATGATTAGTATAGTGGAGATGGGGACAGGAAATAAAATGTGCCACTAGGAGAAGCAAGTCAGATCTATAAAAGGGGTTATCTTTGTGATAAAATCCCTGGTATTCTAGAAATGTTTGGTTATCAATCTCTTCTTTTGTTCAGAACCAGGGCTTCCCAGATTAGTCCTTGAGCTAGGCACAGTTCCACCTGTGTCTTGCAGAACTGCCCCAGAAAAACAGGAGGAAACAAGATGAGTAAGCAAGTTTGGAAGGTATATTATTCAAGATTAAATCCAGAGGAAGGGCAAACATTAGGAGTGGTTGATCCGGTGATTCAGTGATGTCATGAGACCCATGTCTTTCTTCATCCAGAGTTTTAGGATGCCTGCCTGTAGCAATAAACTTTGCATGTTTCCCACAGGTGGTATGGGAAAAAAGAATGTCTTTCCATAGTTCTTTCTCAAACAAAGAACTTCTCTAAAAACCTTCAGCAAAGCTCTTAGTACTTATCAGAACTAGGACACATGGGATTACTTTCAGACCAGTGGTTCTCAACCATAAGCAATCCTGCATCCCCATCCCCACCTCACCCCCAAAAGACACTGGCAATATTTGGAGACAGTTTTGGTTGTCACAACTTCGGGAGAGGTTGCTATTGGCATCTGGTGGGTAGAGGTCAGAGATGCTACGAAACATCCTACAATGCACAAGACAGCCCCCATATCAAAGAATTATCCAGCCCAAAATGTCAAGAGTGTGGAGACTGGGAAACTCTATTTTAAAATAACAGTCCCACTCCTCTGAAGCCCTCTAGCTAGGTGTGGGAGGTAAATATCAGAGAAAGACTGATAATGAGTGGCCAGGGAGGTAGGAGAAGATGAAAAAATGTCTGTTCAAAAGCACGAGGAGAAGAATTTTAAGAAATCAAACATGGTCAGTAGTGTCAAATGCTGTAAAGAGGTCATCATTTGGTTTATCCATAAAGGGGTTACTTGTTACCTTTGCCCAAGAAGTTCCAGTAGAGTAGTAGGGACCACAAGAGACCCTGATTATAGTACTGTATAGGCAAGTCATTCAAGAAACTTGCCTATGAATGGAAAGTGAGAAAATGGAAGAAGAGAGAAAGCTAAAGAGTCAAGGGACTCTTTTACATAATGAAGAGACAGGATAATTTTTAAAATGCTGACAGGAAAGATCCAAAAGAGAGGGGGAAAAATGAGATGGTCCTTGAGAAGCGAATGCATGCAGAGCAGTGTTTCTCAATTTTAATATGCCTGTGAATCACCTGGGAGATCTTGTCATCACCTGTGGTATTCTATTGAATGCATATTCTGATTCAGTAAGTTGGGGTGGGGCCTGAGATTCTCAAACTTAAGTGTGCATCAGACTCACCTGGTGGGCTTGTCCAAACAGAGGTTGCTGGGCCTCACTCCTAGAGTTTCTGATTCTGGGATACAGAACAAGAATTTACATTTCTTTTTCTTTCTTTTTTCTTTTTTTTTTAAAACAACTACCTCTGTTATCTTTTTTTTCTTTTTTAAAAAAATATATTTTATTGATTTTTTACAGAGAGATAGGGAGAGGGATAGAGAGTTAGAAACATCAATGAGAGAGAAACATTGATCAGTGCCTCCTGCACACCTCCTAGTGGGGATGTGCCCGCAACCAAGGTACATACCCTTGACTGGAATCAAACCAGGGACCTTTCAGTCCTCAGGCCGACGCTCTATCCACTGAGCCAGTTAGGGCAAGAATTTGCATTTCTAACATGTTCTCAGGTGCAGCTGATGCTACTAGTCCACTTAACACACTATGAGAACCACTGATTTAGGATTTAAATGGAGAAAATCACCTTACAAGAAAGATAGCTTTACCACTGAGAAAATAAGGAAAAGGCAAAGATGGACAGGGTTGCAGGTAAGTTTGTAGGTTTGAGGCTGAGTAAATCCAAGAATTTACTGCCCATTGGCCTATATCTTCACTCTGAGGTAGGAGTGAAATTATCAGCTGAGAGGAAGGGAGGGGATGATGAGATAAGGAACTGTAAATATTAAGTGACGGCTTATTACCCTTTATAACACCATACAAAAAGTAAATTTGTTTTGTTACATTTGGAACATTTTGCAATTAATTCATCCAGAGCATTTGACCAGGAAATTATGTGGTGTGGTGAAAGAATTAAATTTTCCTTTGGTTGTTAACTAGAAACACTTGCTTTGGAAATTTCCAAGTCTGACTTTTGTTGACTATGTGCTTTGATGTAGAAATTTAGGAATTCAATTGGTTTTAAAAGGCAGAATGGCATAGAATTTATGAGTGGGTAGACTCTAGAGTGAGAGGCTCTGGTTTCTAATCTTGCCTCACCACAAACCACTGTGAAAATTTGAGTGAATTTTTGCAGGAAGCCACCCATTGTCTTCACTATCAGAGAAGTGCAAACAAGGATCCTAGAACGCTGGTGAACCTTGAACCCATGGCACGGGCTAGAGTTATGCACCGATTGTCTAGTCCAGACAAGGGGGGCTCAAGTTATTTCCTGATCAAATAGTCTGAGAGTAAATCCTTCTAATATTTACTGACCTTTAAGACAGTCTGTCTGTTACCGCAATTACCTGCCTAAGAGCTAGATGTGTATCCAAAATTGAATAAAAGGTTGGCGAGGCCTGGACGCCAGTAGAAGTCCTTTCCCTTGAGTTGGGCTTGCCTACCTGGCCCCCAATATTTCCAAATTATTTCTCATTTCATCTCATTCATTTGCGTGCAGCCCCTCTTCCAGATCCTCAACCCTGAACCATGCGGGACGTGGGGAAACATTCACAAATTTTCTCTTACCTTTAGCTTCTGACCTGTAAAATGGGGACAACAGAGTTGTTAGAAGAGTTAAATGAGATAATGTAGTAAGCACTTAGCACAGTGCTGTCGTAGTATTTCACTTGTGACATACTGATTAAATTGATTCTAAAGCCACTACATTTCATTCATAATTCTAGGTGACCATTCATGTGAATTGCAAAAATACACATACACTCTTATTACTGTAATATACATATACTAGAGGCCTGATGCACGAATTCCTGCTCGGGTGGAGCCTGGCCAGTCCCACCCCCAACCAGGGTGGGGGTCTGATCGGGGGCAGGGCCAGCTGGAGGGAGGGGTCGTGGGAGGCTGTGGGGGGGCAATCAGGGCCCCAATAGGGCCGGTTAGCCGCCGCAGTGTGTGTCATAGCGACCAGTCATTCCATCATTCAGGTTGCTAGGCTTTTATATATATAGTTTTTACCTTTCAGCCCCATCACTGCCTCACTCTCTTCACTCTTTAGTTTGACCTCTGTGATTTATCACCTCAACTACTCTCTCAGGAGCAGTCACCTCCCTCACATACCTTCTGTCAACCTTAAAGCACCATCTCTAGAATAAATCCTGTGCTGTCTTCTTTGCCCCTATACCAAGGATAATGAGGAATGCTATGAGGATGGAATGCTATGAGGCTAAGTGCTGCTACAAATTTCTGGATCTGTAGGTCTGATAATACTCAAGACCTTAATCCTTGTCTTTGTATTTTTTAATAGATATTTTTATTGATGTCAGAGAGGAAGGGAGAGGGAGAGAGAGAGGAAAACATCAATGATGAGAGAGAATCATTGATTGGCTGCCTCCTGCATGCCCCCTCTGAGGACCGAGCCTGCAACTGAGATATGTGCCCTTGACTGGAATTGAACCCAGGACCCTTCAGTCCACAGGCCAACGCTCTATTCACTGAGCCAAACCAGCTAGGGCTTATTCCTTGTCTTTGGTTGATTTGCTTTCTCTTCTCTTCTCTAAGATCATCCCAAGCTTTCCCCAATCACCTCAAGCCACCTTAAATCCAGAGCTACTCACTCTGCAGCTCACTCTTGTCTAGTTTCTCAATGTATACATCTTTCAGTTTTGGTCATTTTTAAAAAATATATATCTTTTATTGATTTTTTACAGAGAGGAAGGGAGAGAGATACAGAGTTAGAAACATTGATGAGAGCGAAACATCCATCAGCTGCCTCCTGCACACCCACTACTGGGGATGTGCCCGCAACCAAGGTACATACCCTTGACCGGAATCGAACCTGGGACCCTTCAGTCCGGAGGCTGACGCTCTATCCACTGAGCCAAACCAGCTAGGACAGTTTTGGTCATTTTATTTCTCCCAAATCTTTCACTTAATTCTTCCAAAAAATACATATTTCTTTTAATTTGCATCTGCAGAATGAAAGTGACTGAATCATAGAGAAGGGCTGAGAGAAGGGATAGAAGAAAAAGATCTTATAGTTCCCCCTTTTGATCCACCCACCCATTCTCAGTTATTTGAGCTAACAATAATTTTTACTTAACGCTAGTTTGAATTGGATTTTTGTCATCACCAAAAAGTATCTTATATAGCTATCTCTTGTGTATGCTGTGTTTACATTTTTCTTCTACCTTTCATAAAAGTCACACACCCAACATTTTGCCTCATTCATATCTGAGTAAGGCTGAGTCTATATCAGCAAACTACAGTCCGCGGGTCTTATCTGGCCAGCCACCTGTTTTGTTTTCACAGCCCACAAGCTAAGAATGTTTTTTACATTTTTAAGTGATGGTTATACAAGTACCTGCATAATAGCCTTGCCTGTGTCTCTTGGCCCACAAAGCCTAAAATGTTTCCCTTCTTGCCCTTTAAGGAAAAACCTTATTTAAACAGATGTAATACTGACTAAAAATATTGTGCATTTATTATCCTTGGGTCCCTCACTATTGACTTGGCTGCTGTTGGAGTCCCTCATTATGTGGGTTTAAATAATTAGTTCAGGATTTCAGCATCCTGCATGTGGTTGGGAGGAAGTCAGAGTCATGGGTCAGCTTATCCAGAAGTTTGTCTTGAAGGTCTTTTTACCATGTTTGCTCACATTGTCGCCACAGGTAACAGTTTTGCTGTCTGATTTTCTGTTTGGCCTGGCTGCTGCTTTTGGTATATGGTTTCCTTCCTCACTTTTATAAGTTGACTTGAAGGTAGTGGCCTCCTGAGGTAAGTTGCCTCTAAAAATAAGAAAAGTTCTCCCAGTGTTGAGGTGAATTACCTGCTCTAAGGAGATGTATGGTCAGGAAAAGATTCCTCCACAGGTTTTTCTGTTTTCATGGCTTCCTTTTCTTTCCTAAATTCTGTGCAATTGCTTTCAGGGACTATAGATCTGTAGCATCAAAGAGATTCCAAGTAGTAATGGTCCCATCCCTCATAAAAAAAAAAACAAAAAAACCCAGCTTTTTCTAGGAGTTTTTATTTATCTTATTAGTAGGCAGTAGTAGGTATCTGCCAGGGTTTCCTTTACTTAGTTTTCATGATACAGCATTATTCTCTTAGAAAATATACATATATGGGTTTTAACCTTTCATTATCTAGCAGGAATTCTCCTATGTGGTATCTATGTCTTCCTTCCATCTTTTCATTACTGTTATATATTTTTATTATTGATGTTAATTTTCCTTTGATTGTTTAAATCAGTTGTGTGGAGATAGATGACGAGGTGTATATTTCTTGCACCTACACTAAATCATTGGAGGATAACAAAAAAACTCATTAAAGGGTAGGGGAGTTTAGGGAATGCAGTCAATAATATTGCAGTAACTATGTAGGTGATGCCAGGTGGGTACTGGAAATATCGGGGGACCACTTTGTAAAGTATAGGATTGTCTAACACTGTGCTGTACACCTGAAACTAATATAAAATAATATCGAATATAAACTATAATTGAAAAATAAAATTTAGCCTGGCCAGTATGGCTCAGTGGTTGAGCATCGACCTATGAACCAGGAGGTCAGGGTTCATGCCCAGTCGGGGCACATGCCTGGGTTTAAGGCTGGAACCTCAGTGTGGGGCATGTAGGAGACAGCCCATCAATGATTCTCTGTCATCATTGATATTTCTCTCTCTCTCCCTCTCTTTTCATCACTGAAATCAATTTGTAATAATAAAAGTATAATATGCTAATTAGACCGGACAGCCAAATGACCTTCTGGACATCCTCCTGAACGTCCTTCTGGATGACCTTCAGGACGAAGCCAAGGCAAGCTGCCGTGGCTGCGAGGGCCAAGCCCCTTGCACGAATTTCATGCATCAGGCCTCTAGTAAAAATATATTAAAAAAAGAAAAAGAACATGTAAAGATCTTTACAAAAACTTATTATGTATAAAGCAATGTGCCAGGCACTAAATTTTTTAAATCTTCCAATGTTCAGCAATTGTTTTATATACAATTTTTCAAAATATCAACTGAAGTAACTATAAAAAGTATTCTGATAACTACATAAAGGTCTGAAGAATCTATGTTTATAAAGGACTTCAGTATTTTATTCAATATCTTTTAAACACTAGTTTTTCTGTTTAAAAAACTCATTAATGACAAAAAGTTTTTGTCAGACTACCACCTGGGAAACCCAAAAAGGTACAGCAGTAAAGAGATGAAAGACTGCCCGGCTGGTGTGGCTCAGTGGTTGAGCATTGACCTATAAACCAGGAGGTTATGAGTCGATTCCTGGTTAGGGCTTGAACCCCAGTAGGGGGATGTGCAGGAGGCAGCCAATCAATGATTCTCTCTCATCATTGATGTTTCTATTCCTCTCTCTGAAATTAATAAAAACATTTTTTTTAAAAAAGATATAAATGATGCCAGGTGAAAGATCCAGAGCCAAGTAGAAAGGATTAGCAACGCATCCCATATAGCTCATGATGCTTTTCCCATTTCCACAGGTAGCAATGATGGATGTCAAGATGGATAAAAAAAACAGAAAGCGAAGAATCTATTAGGATTTGGTCCAGCCAGGGCACTTGTACAGAGAACTTAACAGTGCTCAAGTTATCACCTTCCGTCCAGGGTGCTGCTATCAGTAAGCAGTTTTGTATTGCACAGCACGCTAATGGGATGCTCTTGACGAATTATGTTCCAGTGACCTCTGGAACATTCATTTAAGAGACCCATAAACCTTAAGATAACTGGGACATTCCACATCAGAATAAGTTTAAATCACAGTGTGATGAAGACTCACAGTCTGACCTGAGTTTGACAGAAGCAGGACAAACTTTAAATACGCTGCTGCAGAGACGCAGGATATGTGAGAAGAACCGTGTTTCCGAAGGAGTGTGCTTGCCTAGAGATCAACTTCCAGAATGGCAGAGTGAGGACCGCAGTGACCTTGCCTTCCCACAAAAACATGAAAATACTGGCAAAACAATGACAGGCGACCATTTTGGACCTTTGGAAATTAACCAAAAAGCCACAGAACAAATTGAAAATCTATCCAAGAGAAACCACTGAACTTTGGTTAAAAAGTGGGATCTGTGATATTTTAATTTGTTGATGAAATGCTATTCCCACCCACCCTCCTACTCCACCCAGCTCAGTTTCATGGTGGTCACAAAAAGCTAGCAGTCTCATGACCAATGGGAAGGACTGACCTCTTGTGGAGCTCAGTTAAAAGCAACATCCTCAGAGCACAGTCAACATTTTGTCTAAACCTGTAGTTCTGGAAAAACTCTATTCTTAGGAAGTGGTGGCTATCTCTTTGATTTGACTCAGAATTCAGCTCAGCAGCAGGGGGAAAAGCCTTATTCCCAGTGCATTTTCAAACAATAACCACCTATTGACAATATTGAAGTTGCCTAAGGCTGTGCTTTCAGTTGGGATTAGTGAAAACAAGCTGGGAATTTGAGTATCTTTTAGAGAACTGGATAACCATCAGCAGCTCCAGCATATTTCAGGGGATCTAAAAGGCTGTGGTAATGCAGGAGGCTGTGCACATTATGGATAACATAACTTGTAATGAGTGTTTGTGCTGCTTCCTCTATCAGTGGTTCTCAACCTTCCTAATGCCGCGACCCTTTAATACAGTTCCTCATGTTATGGTGACCCCCAACCATAAAATTATTTTCGTTGCTACTTCATAACTGTAATGTTGCTACTGTTATGAATCGTAATGTAAATATCTGATATGCAGGATGTATTTTCATTGTTCGCGACCCACAGGTTGAGAACCGCTGCCTGAATTCAAATGTGAAGTTCCTGTTTGGCAGAGAGGGAGAAATTTCCCTAAATCTAGGAGAGAGCAATAGGAGGGAAGAAAGAGAAAAGGGCTATCAAGGGTTGTCATGTGACTCAGTAAAGGTGGAGTTGCAGATAATATGGAGTTTCAAATACTTGCGTAAGTTTCAGGTAAATTTTCCATCTAAAGCCAAAAATTAGATTTCAGTTTTACTCTGACATTTCTCAAGATAAGATTTCAGGGATCTTGCCTATAAATGTTCTATGTCTGAGGTCAAGGAATGCTTCTTAACCTTTGTTTAAAAGATTTGAGGTCACCCTAGCTGGTTTTGCTCAGAGGATAGAGGTTCGGCCTGTGGACTGAAGGGTCCCAGGTTTGAATCCAGTCAAGGGCACATGCCCTGGTTGCGGGCTCAATCCCAGTAGGCAGCCAATCAATGATTCTCTTTTATCATTGATATTTCTATCTCTCCCCCTCTCTCCCCCTCTCCCGTCCTCTCTGAAATCAATAAAAATATTTTTTTTAAAAAAGACTTGGGGTCAAGGAATGCTTCTTACCTTTGTTTAAAAGATTTTCAGATATTTTCATTGCTACTCTTATGGATGTTGAGAAACAGTCAAGTTTTATACTTTTTGTGAATAATAAGGCACCTACTGAATTCTCAAATCATATGAAGGATTTTTAATTTAGTGATTTTCCTGTTGGATATGAGTATTCTATGATGTTGGTGGGTGGACATGCTAATTATTAACTTCCCATCATTACCTTGCACCTGAACCTTTATTCTGTATACGTTCCCAAAATATCTTACTATCATAATAGCTAATAACTTGCACAGTATGATAACATAAATTGGAATAACAAATATTTTCCTCTTAATAACTGTATTGTGATTAATTTGGAGGGAAGCAGAAAAGACAAGAGAAAAGAGAAAAAATTACTTTGGAGTCATTAATGGCCATTTTAGCTGTTTTGTATGGTGAGTGGAACCAGGTGAAGGTTTGGGCTCACTCTATTATCCTCAGTGAATTTCTTATATAACTCGTTATTATAATGGAAATCATACTAGTTCTGTCCACCAGGGGGCATTTCACAATAGAATGTAGAAAATTATGTTGCAAGGTTTGCTCTTGCCTAATTAGGGAATGATGCAAAGTTATAAAGTTGACATCCAGTTTCAGAGAGGGTATTCCCTTTCTGAAGAAACCAGGCCCTTTGAGGACACTTGTTAGTAGAAAACAAAGATATTACATATTGTGAGGATGTAAGAGAGATTTCTGTGAAACTCCACAGTGAAACTCTAGTGTCATCTGGGTTCCAGGTCTTAGGATAGGATAGAATTGATGATCCTGATTTTTCTGAGGCGAGCAGGCAGGTTTTGTTTGGTTAGGAGTACCTGAGCTTCTGCTTCTCTCTTGGGCATTAGTTCTAATGCCTTGATCCAAAACAGAGACTTTGCTTATTGCCTCACAGAAATCCTCACCTACCCTGACTGGACAGAAAAGTACCAACTTACCTCTAGCGAATCAGCAAGAAAACGGACACACAAATCAACCTTATGCAGACTAGATGGGAGGTTTGTTTGTGGATCCTCCAGTACTGAAGTACTTATTGCTTTTACCTGCTTGGCATCTGTGCCATCCCTTTCTTCAGGTAGCAGACTCATCCTCTAGGCAGAAAAAAGGCATGTCAATGATAGGCCAATCCTAACACCTCACCCACAGAGAGTAGGCCACCAGCAGTCATGGGCATGTACAGATTCTATTCCCCAAGAATTGCAATCTTGAATGGAGACATGTAGCAACAATTTAGAATGAAGATACCTTATGAAAACATCCTAAAGAGAAGTTTTGTGAAGTGCTTGGGCTGTTCTAGTATCCTTTCCAATCTAGGTTGAGCAGTTAGACAAGAAATAAAAGGTACCGAAATTGGAAAGGAAGAAGTAAAACTTTCTCTATTTGCAGATGGTATGATCTTATATGTAGAATTTCAGGATACAAAATAAACATGAAAAATCAGTTGTATTTCCAGACCCTAGCTATGAACAATATAAAAAGGAAATTTAAAAAACCAATTCCAATTTAGTCATGGGTATGTATATACAGCATGTGATTATAGTTAATAATACTGTGTTCATATTTAAAAGTTGCTAAGAGAGTAAATATTTTTTAAAACTATATTTGTTTTGATTTCAGAGAGGGAGAGAGAGATAGAAACATCAATGATGAGAATCATTGATTGGCTGCCTCCTGCACACCCTCAACCAGGGATCAAGCCCACAACTGGGGGAATGTGCACTGTCTGGAATCGAACCGTGACCTCCTGGTTCAATGGTTAATGTTCAACCACTAACTCTGGCTGGGCAAGAGTAAATCTTTTTTTAAAATTTATCTTTATTGTTGAAAGTAAGAGAATAAATCTTAAAAGTCTTCATCATAAGAAAAAAATTGTAACTATGTACTAGTATAGGGATTTATTGTGGGGATCAATGTATACAAATATCAAATCATTATGCTGTATACCTGAAACTAATGTTATATATCAATTATACCTCAATAAAAATTGCTTGTATATATACACTCTTAATTAAAAGCAAGCTAAAAAAAAAAAAAAGAAAAGAATTTCATTTATAATAGCAACAGAAAGAATAAACTACTTGGGAATACATTTAACCAAGGAGATGCATGACTTGTATATTGAAGCTATAAAACATTGCTGTATGAAATTAGAGACCTAAATAAATGGAAAGTCATCCCATGTAAGATGTCAGCACTACTAAAAGTGTTCTACTGATTCAGTGTGATTCCTAACAAAATCCCAATTTTCTTTTTGCAAAAATGAAAAAAAAGTAAGTTTATTTTATCCATTCTAAATTTTCCAATATGATCACATTTAAAAACTATTTTTTAGATCACATAAGGAATCAGTGAAAAATAAATGTTACTTAAAAATGACTTTATGGAAAACAGTATTAATAGTTTCCTCAAAAATATTAAACATACAATTACCATATGATCCAGCAAGTCCACTTCTGGGTATATACCCACAAAAATTGAAAACAGGAACTTAAACAGATATTTGTACTCAGCAGCATCCTTCATTATAGCCAAAACTCGAAACACCCCAAGCGTTCATCTAAAGGTAAATGAATAAACAAATGTGATATACCAGGTATGTGTGTATATATATGATTTGTTTATTCAATATGTGTGTGCAATAGAATATTACTCAAAAAGGAATTAAGTTCTGCCCTGGCTGGTGTGGCTCAGTTGATTGAACATTGTCACATACACAAAAATGTTGCTGGTTTGATTCCTGGTTAGGACACATGCCCAGGTTGAGGGTTCAGTACGTGGTGGGGGTGTGTATGGGAGGCAACCAATCAATGTTTCTCTCTCACATCGATGTTTTTCTCTCTCTCTCCCTTCTATCTTTTTGTTTTTATTTTTATTTTTTTTAGTTTTTCAAAATTTATTTAATAACCAATTTAAGTTAGATTTGGGTTGTTACAATGAAGTCTTTTCTTTCTTCTTTTTTTTGTGGTAACTTTATTTATTTATTTATTTAAATTTTGTTTTATTGCTTAAAGTATTACAAAGAGTAGTACATATGTCTCCTTTTTTTTTTTCCCCTTGACCTTTCCCCGGCCTCCTCTACCCAGTGTCTTGTGTCCATTGGTTATGCTTATTAAATGCATATCTTTTCATTTTTATAGTTAAATTGTTTAATCAGAGCAGTGTTACAATCCTAAATTAAAAGAGCCCCAATGTTTGCAACATGGCCTTGCTTCCATTCCGAACCTGCCTTTTTTTATCTGTAAAAGGACAGCATTTCATTTAAAAGGACTTAAAATGGAGTGACTGATCTCATCACCTGTGGTTTCATGCAAACAATGAACTCCCTGAATGGATATTACTTCAGCATCATCTCCCTTATATCT